CTACTGAAGGTGCTCTCTCCCCCCCCCGGTCCTGCTCCCACTCCTCCGCTTCCCCCTCCTCCTCCTCCTCCTCCTCCTCCTCCTCCTCCTCCTCCTCTGCCTCTCCTCCTCCTCCTCATCACTCCTCCTCCTCCTGTTCCTCCAGTTCCTCCTCCTCCTCCTCCTCCTCCTCCTCCTCCTCTTCCTCCAGTTCCTCCTCCTCCTCCTCCACCTCCTCCTCTTCCTTTTCCATCGTCCTCCTCGTCATCCTTCCTCATCGTCCTCATCCCCCTCCTCCGCTTCCTCGTCATGAGCCTCCCTGAGGCGCCCCGGGGCCTCGCTGGGCTGCCCAGGGCCTCCTGGCTCCCCCCCCCTCGCGGCATCCTGGGTCCGCCCTGTGCTGCCTGTGTGGGGGAACGGGGGAGGGGGGGGGGCAAAGAGGGGCTGCAGAGTCGAGCGCGGGGATTTGCGAGGAGCTGCGGGGAGCCCACGGGGCGGGAGCATCCCCCCCCTGCGCCCCCGCCCCTGCTAGGGTTACCAGCGCCGCCAGGAGCCCCGCCGCCGCCAGCGCGAGCAGCACGGCCACGCCGGCCGGGACGACCCATGCGAGAAGCTGCACCAGGTAGAAGGTGCCTCGAGGGTGCAGGGCAGAGCGGAGACGAGGGCCGAGCGAGCCGCGAGGGGCGAGGAGAGATCTCCTCGTCCCTCCCATCTCGTCCTCCCCCTCCTCCTGCTCCTCCTCCTCCTCCTCCTCCTCCTCCTCCTCCTCCTCCTCCCTCTCTTCCCTCCTCTTCCTCCTCCTCCTCCTCCTCCTCCTCCTCCTCCTCCTCCTCTTCCCTCCTCCTCCTCCTCCTCCTCCTCCTCCTCCTCCTCCGCCTCCCACGGCAGGTGTTTGTCAGAACGTTTCAGGGCTATCAAGCCAGAACAAAACAAGTGTCACTGAGCTGGATCAGGCCGGATCGAGCCCGGGATGAAGCCAAATTACATGGGAAAGCCCGACTCAGCGAGACTGGGCCAGAGTCGGCAAGTTTCCGGCCAGGTATATGTACTAGCGCGGATTCAGAATCGACCTTGCCAGGAGTTGCATCCCAGGAGAGGGGCGGGAGGGGGACCAGGCCTAGGCGAGAGGGGGCAGAGAGGGCAGAGGGGGAGGCGCTGGAGGAGCGTACCACCAATGGTTTCGGTTCTTGAGCGTCGTCCTTCGCATCCAGCACATCCAGATGAGGCTACAGCTGCGGCACGGTGCCCTGCGCTGAAAACAGGTTCACCCCGGCGAGGGGCGCGGCACCCAAGGCGTGAAGGGTGGCGGGGCTGCGACGGGGCGGACTCGGCGGCGGCGGGGGCCAGCAGAGCCGCGAGGGGAGCGGAGGAGCAAGGGGCGAGGACGGCGGCGACGCGGCGGTGGCGTGACCGCGCGGGCTCGGCGGCGGCGAGGGCCGGCGGAGCGCGGAGGGGCAGGGGGGGGGAGGGCGGCGGCGACGGCGGTGGCGTTCAGGCGTGTCCGCAGGCTTGGGGGGGAGGGGGCAGGAGGAGGCACTCCCGGTGGAGCGAACAATGGCATGAAGACAGACTGTCGAAGGTCCGCGCGGAAGCGGCGGCGGCGAGGGCCGGCCGAGCCGCGAGGAGCGCGGGGGCAGGGTGGAGGACGGCGGCGACGGCGGTGGCGTTGAGACGTGTCCGCAGGCTTGGGGGGAGGGAGCAGAAAAGGGCCCCCGAACGGTGTGGTGACCACACCGTGTGGCGAGTCGGTGGGGCTTCGGGGTCACCGCACGGTTTTGGGGCTCGGGTCCCTCTCCGAAAGTGTCTCGGGCGACAAGGGCCTCCAGGGTCCCAAAACCGCGAGGTCACGGACCGTGCGGTGAGATCTTAGGAGATTTCGAGGTCACCGCACGGTCCGTCACCGCACCGTTTCGGGACTCCAAAAAGATGACGTGTCTCCTACGGGAATGTCTGGGGAAGGGACTTTCGAGACCGCGTCGCTGCATTCGAGACTTTGAAGCGCGGCTGAACGCGACATGCGACGACCTTGAGGGGGAAGCCGAACTGACTTGAGAAATCGGCATCGCTCATCTCAAAAGCCACGTCCCTGGGGTCGCGATTGGAACCACATGAGAGGAGGCCATGCTGGAGGAGCGGAAAACGAAATGAACATAAACAGTCGAACGTTCGCGGAGCCTTCTTGCAACCATTATGTGGTGTCGCACTGCTCTTCAATGGAATCCCGAGATTTGAAGCAGCCAATTCGGAGGCCCTGTAATTTACAGAACGGCGGCACAATTTAGAAAAGGCAGCTCGGAGAACTTCTGGCAGTAACCTTGGCTTGACGGGGCCCAGAGACACACAAACGAATAGACACGAATCCCAGGAGCCCCAATACTTGTCCCTAGGTTCTGGAATTTCGTCTGTTCCCTCCACTCCCCATAGTTTCCCCCATTTTTCTGGGGATTGACGATGACTTCTTTTTGTGTTTTGCCTCCTGGTGGTGGGCGGCTGTCCAGCCATCATCAGGTCGGGCGTGTCCCCATACAGGCGGATCTTGGAGGAAATGTTGAAAATTGCTTAAACATATTCCAACCTAGTGTAAACAGTGTAAAACATCGTCCCCAGACTATTTTGAAACTCTTTTTGAAAAAATCCTCCAGCAGAGATATGTTGCTCCCGCCCTACTGAAGGACCGCCTCCCAGAAATAATTGCGAGCACCCAGAAAAGTGTCAAAAGAGTGTCGAAACAGTGTCGGGTCGGGCGAGTGCCCCCCAGGGCCCGGCACGTGAGAACCCTTGAGCTTCGGTACTTCTTCGGGCGCTCGAAGTTCTTCCTGGTGATCAAGGCTACAGTCGGTTGGAGCACCATAATCGGCGGTGGACAAACCTCCCTTCAGTAGACCTCCCCTTAGTGAAAACGGCCTGGGACCGAAACCGACGGACCTGGACCCGCAAAAAGGACGGCCGCGACGCCCTCTCGCGAACCGAAAACGGCCAATATCTTCATCGACGTGTCAGGGTAGGAGGCCTGTCCACCCCCGAAATTGTCGGCCTAGTTCTGAACATGCCGCCTGCTCGGGAGCGGCCAAGAGGGGGGTGTCCAAGAGGGGGGGGGGTGCAAATCATGACCGGCGGCATGTGCGCGGCCCAGCGGGGGGGCCAGGGACGTAATGAAATAAGAAGAGGCGCGGTGAAATCTGGGGAAACATCATGGCCCCCGCCATGAAATCCACCCCCCCCTAGTCATCACCCCCCTCTTTGCCGCCCCCGACCTTCACGGGGCCACGCCCGACTGGACCCTCGTCGCCAGGCCCCCCTCTTTGGGGGGGGGTCCGCCCCCAGAGGCCTGCGCGCGTGCCCGCCGGTCGGAAAGGGGGGAGGCAGAGTCGTGGGGCGGGAATGCTGGGCAGGGACCGACCGTCCTGGCATTCCTGTAGGCCTACCACGAGATGGTCTTAGAAGCCCAAAATGCTCGAAGAACAAAAAGAATGTTCTCAGAACCCCAAAATGTTCGAAGAACAAAAGGAATGTTCTCAGAACCCCCGAAAATGATCGAAGGACAAAAAGGAGGTTCTCAGAACACAAGCCCGGTGTGCTAAAGCAGGACGGTCCCAGCCAGAGATGTTCTAAGAACATATTTCGTTGAAGCCACAAAAGGTTATTGGAACAGTCTTTGGTCGGCCCATAGGCGAGCAAGGACGCTTCGCCACTGCTTGAGGCAGGCGTCGGCAGCAGATGTTGGGCCTCCGCCCGCCCCTGGAGGACGAGAGAGCAAGCGGAAGGCCTCCCTCGATCCTCGAAGATTCCTCCTGTAGAGGGAAACGCCCGACTTACACCTACCTGCGACGACCGGCGTGTGCAGGAGGGGCCCGACCACGGGAGACCTCCCGCACAAGACCCAGCCCTGAGACCCCAGGACGTCCACGGACTTCTGGTGTGGGAGCGTCACCCTTTCCATCGCAAAACCATCGAGGCCCTGGAAGCCCAGGGCACCCTGGAGGCGAGCAGGGTGCTCCTAGGCAGGTCTGCCCAATTCTTCTCCGACATCCTCCGTCCCGGTCGAGGCCCGCCTCCTCCCCGTCCTCCCCCCCTCCGGAGCCCACACAAAAAGGGACGCGCGCGCGCCCACCCGCGCACGTGAGCACGGCCACCCCAGCCTACGAGACCGGCCGCGTGCTGCACATGTGCGCGCCGTGCGCACGCTCGAAACCAACGTGGATGCCTGCACGTGTGCGTCGTCCTGACTTCCTCTCCCCTTCTCCCCTCCCCCTCCCTGCCCCTCCCCCCTACTCCTCCCCCCCCCTCCCACCCCTCCCTGCCCCTCCCCCCTACTGTCGGGTCGGGCGAAAGGGGGGGATAGCAAAAGGGGGGTTTGAGAATCAGCTCGCGTAGCTGATTTTCCCGGCGCCTCCCGGCGCCGGAGGCGGCTATGTCTCGAGGAATGGGCCTGGCGGCGGGGCCGAAACCAGCTGCATGCAGCAAATTTGCAAATCCCCCCCTTTCGCCCGGCCCGATACTGCTGCGCGAGGTGCCGCCGGAGCAAACGGCACGACATGGACGGAGCTGACTCAAGTTTACAGTCGTGCTTGATTGGGTAGGACACGCGAGAGGACACAAGACCCTTTCGAGGGCCACATTGCCATTGCCACAGGAATGTAAGAGGCATGGGTCGCGAGGTACAGGACACAGGTGTACCCTTGATTTGGCAGGGTCGGCCTTCTAATCCGGGCCGACTGTACTGGACGACTGCGGCGCAGCCTGCGGCGCAGCCTGCGGCGCAGCCTGCGGCGCAGCCTGCGGCGCAATCTCCAACACAACCTGTGGCACAACCGATCGCGCCACCGACAACCTATGGAGCAGCCGACGTACGACACGGCGTGCGGGGCCCCATGCCGAATGCTGGATGCAGCGTCGTGGGTCCAACTCGCGAGCCCTCTTCCCACGTGCTGTGCAACTAACGCGTCGTGCGTTCAACTGGTGACTCGGTGCGGCGCTGCCGTGCTGCGGCATGCCATGCCGTGGCGCAGCGCAGCGCCGTGCCGTGTCAGAGCGTTTTGTGCCGCGCCGTGACCTCGCACATGCTGTCCCATACTTCCTGCTGGCGTGAGCCTTTTTCCTCTCCCGACGCGAGCGCTCGGGGCTCGGGGCCACATGATCCGGCCAGTGGCTCCCGCGGCGCAAGCGGCACTGGCCGCGGGTTGGTCAGCTCCTCTAGGAGGCGCTCCCGTGGACCGCCCCCCAGCGACCCGGCCACCAGCGGATGCCGCCGGCGCAGCTCGCAGCCCTCCGGGCCCTGGGGCCTGCACCCCGGGAGCACCTCTCGAGAAGGAGGAGGAAGGGGAGAAGGAGGGGAGGAGGAGGAGGAGGAGGAGGAGGAGGAGGAGGAGGAGGAGGAGGAGGAGGAGGAGGAGGAGGAGGAGGAGGGGGTGAGGGAGGAGGAGGGGGCTGGGGGAGGGAGGGAGAGATGAGGGATGAGGAGGAAGGAGGAGGCGAGAGGGGGAGAGGACCTTGTTAGGATGAGTAGATTATGATAGGAGTTTCAGGATTAGAAGAGGAGGAGAGGATGTCAATGACATGACGCGCCGCCGCGGGGAACCCATCCGCGTGTCACGGGGCCTTCGGGCAACACCGAAGGGGGCAAGACGCCGACGGGCTCCAAGCGGCGGCCTGCAACTGATACGGTTTTTCCTCCCGAAAAAGACACGCGCGCGCAGCCTTTCGGACGTCGGCGGACGGCGTTTCCGCCTGGCGCCAGTCTGGACATCCCCTCCCTGTACCCCTGGAGGCTGTCATTCCATCTCTCGGCGACAACCTGGGCAGTCCGCGGGGCCCTGGCTGGCCATCGCTCGGACGTCCATTCCCTGTGTTTTTTATTCGGTTTCGTGCGTGGTTTTCTCGCCAAATGACCAGGGATGCTCCTCGATGGTCCTCGCAGAAGGAAAACTGCACACGTCCGAGCGATGCCAAGCTGGGGGGGGGGCGGGGCGGCCAATCACAGAAACCTTTTGGCTCTGGGCAGCCCCGCGCATGCCCGCGCGCACCAGCACAGCACACTACGCCCTGCCGGACCTGCGCAGCCGACAGGGTCAGGCTATCCGGGGGGGGGGGGGGGGCGGGGGGCGCGGGCGGGCCCAGCAGCCCGGCAGCTCGCGGGGTCAACAAGAAGAAGCCCTGCAGGCGGCCTGGGCGGCGCCGCCCATGTCGCGCCAGAGGCGCGGCAGAGCCGCCTGCAATTTCCAGCCTGGAAGACATCCCTAACCCCAAGCTGGGCATCGCCTCGTCGCGATGCCAATCTCAGGGATTCCCTCAGGTTTTCAGGGCGCACCCCTGGGATTGCCATCGCCTTTTTGGCGTGTCAGTCTTAGGGGTAGGGATAAGTTCGAGACTGGTGATGCGAGGGCCGAGGCGGGTGCGGGAGGGGGCTCCCGGGGGCGCGCAAGCATGGATTAGCGATCCGTGGACGTGGCGCGGGGTCGCCGAGTCCATGGATCGGGGGAGGTGCCCTCCCCAAAAGCGCGGCCGGTGCCGCCTCGCCCGGCGGCGGCAATCCGCGATGCCCCCCTTTTTAATCTCTGGGGTCCAGTGGGCACTCGGGGGGTCTCTGGAGCTCTCTAGGCCTTGCCGACGCAGGCGAATGAACGACCACGCGCTCGTGGCTACCACCCCCCCAATGGGGATATCGGCTATACGCAAGAGTGACCCTGGGTAAGAGTGACCTTTGGTGCGCGGCTTTGGGGGGCCCGCGGGGAAGCCAAATCCAGGCGCGCCAGCCGCTGCTACCGCTTCGCGTTCAGCCATCTGGGGGCCCATCTGTGCCCGCACCAACAGGTCACTCCAGCGAAAGGTCACTCTTACGTCTAGTCGAGGATAGGAGCCTGCAGCAGCGAGAACTGACAGACAGCGTGTCAATTGCGAGAACCTAGTCCGCGCCCCCCTGGCTCCCTGCTTGCGATCGCCTGAGGCTCCAGCGGTGAGCGAGGGGCCGCCCGCGGACCCCTTGGCGGCGCGCAGAGGGGGGTAGGGGGAGGGGGGAAGGCTTCTTAGAAGCACCCCTGCTTCTTAGAAGGCGCGGGCCTTCTCTATAGACGTAAGGCCGAGGCCTTCTAAGAAGCAGGGTGCTTCTAAGAAGCCTTCCCCCCTCCCCCTACCCCCTTTTGCGCGCCGCCAAACCCCGCCAAGCATGGGTGCACTCGCGCTGGGCTTTCTCTTCTGGCACGGGGGGGCGCGGCCAGCGACCCCGGAAGGGGTGTGGCTTGAAGAGCTCGCGCCGGCACCCCAACGAGGGCCCTTCAGAACCTTTGGCTTAGGTCGGGCACGTCCCCCACACAGGCGGAGTCTGGACGAGAAATACAGAAGATAGTCAGACATATTCAAAACTAGTCTACCATACACTCGACCAGGATAGTAAGGATGCGCGGTAAGGAAGCAAGGGCCTTGGAGCGCCATGTTGACGTTTTCCGTGCGGACCGCAGCAGAACGCCGAAGGATGCCGAATACCAAAGGGGAAAGGATAAAAAGGTAGCCTTGGAAAGTTGTTCCATCCTGACTATCATGGTTGACTGTAGTGGAAACATCGCACCAGGACTAAGGTTCTACAATCTCTGAAACATTCCTCCTGTAGAGGGACATGCCCGACTTAACCTTTGGCGCAACGTGACCCTGAGCCCCAACAGCGCCGACGGTAGACCACAGCCCCGTGTAGCCACGCCCACTGTCCAGTGCGCAGTCGCCGAGGCACGGGTCCCTGGGCCCGAGGCGTGGCCCCCAAGGACGAGCTCTTTTGAAGGGGCCCGAGGACACACAAATAAATACACACGAAGAAAAATATTCCCCATATTTTCCTATATTTTCTGGGTTTCTGTCTTCCCCCCCACCTCCCATATTTTCCCATATTTTCTGGGGAACCGAGATTTATTGTGTTTGTTTTTTTCCCTCCTGATCTTTGGAGTCTCGAAGCGGTGCGGTGACAGACCGTGCGGTGACCTCGAACTCCCCCAAGGCCTCACCACACGGTCCGTCAACGCACGGTTTCGGGACCTCGGATGCCCCAGGCGCGAGACGTCCTTGGAGAACGACCCGAGTTCCAAAGCCGTGCGGTGACCCCGAATCCCCACCGACTCACCACACGGTGTGGTCACCACCCCGTTTGGGGGCCCCCGAGAGCTCTCATCCCGAGTCGTTTCCAATGACGGCCCCGGGGGCCCTTGGAGGCCCCCCCCAAGGGGCCGGACGGGCCCGTTTGCTGCAGGGCCCTTTTGCTGCAGGGCCCGTTCGCTTCACGGAGACTCGCGTGTGTGAGGAGCGGCGACAGAATTAGGTTGCGTATGTCCTCCTACAGGCAGAGTTTGAAAGGCACATGAACAACAACAAAAAGGGCTACACAAGTACTGAAAAATAATACCAACATCGCCCCCAGACTATGTTTTGACTATTTTTGAATCTGCCTCCTGTAGAGGAACACGGTCAATTTAATTACCAATTGGAGGGGCCCGTGGCTCCAGGAGTGGAACCGTCGAGCTGGCATCGGCGATGCATCGCCGAGCTGTGTCGACGAGGGGCCCCCGATGGCGAACACGCAAGGAACCTGGGCGGGGTGGGCCATTGTCTATTGTCGGGGGCGCGCAGACATGGACCAGCGATCCATGGACGTGGCGCGCGGTCGCCGAGTCCATGGATCGGGGGAGGTGCCCTCCCCAAAAGCGCGGCCGGTGCCGCCTCGCTCGGAGGCGGAACTCCGCGATTCCCCGTGGAAGCGGGGCCCTTCGCTAGTCCACGCCCCCTTACTCCATGTTTGCGATCGCCTGATTTTGGGCCCCTGTCGGCGATCTGTGGGCGATTGGGGGTCGACGCATCCCCCCAAGGCCTAGCCCCCCCTATCGCTGCCCCTGATTGTGCTCGTTCGGTGGCAGCTCATGGGAGCCTCCAATGCCATCCTGCCGGCTCTTGCGAGTCGACGCTGGCCGACGTTGATCGAGGCTCGTCGACGCGAATGTCGGGAAGACGTAAGACTCGAGTTCTGGGGACTCGGGTTGGCCTGACGGGGCCGTGGCGAAAATGACGAGACCCCATCTGACATTTGGCGCGAACCCCTGCTGCAGACACTCCACGAACACTGGACCGTCAAAATCCTGGACGCGCTCGCCAAAAAGCGTCGGCAAACCTGAGTTCTGGTGTACTCGAGTCCTACCTTTCCCCGAGAGTGCACTCTGACGGCGGAATTCCCAGGGCATGCAGGGCTCCAGCAACTTGCTACTGAGCTCTTGCGCCCCTCATTGTGCCCGGGACCTCGCCGCTCCACTGGCACAGGTGCGCGGGCAGCAGCGCGGAGGAGTCCCAGCTCGACAGGCTGCGCCTGCCGGGGGAGGTGCCCACGCCTACGGCCTCCCCCCTGCTCCCTGCTCGGGCCCCTGGAAGTGACGGCCGGTGGCATGGCCGTGGGCTCACATGCCATGGGGCAGGCCGAGACACCGAACCAGCCAGACACCTCAGACAATCGGCCATGCAAGATCTGGCAGAACTTGGTGCTGCGGCTCCGTGCAGTCTGCACAGCGACCCGACCGCAAGAAGCTCTTCAAAGCCCTTGCCAGGAGAAGGATTCAGGCAGGACTGGGCGGGGGGAGGTGACGCCCGACAAGCTGACCTTTTCGCTTCTGGGCAGCCCCACGTGTGCACGCGCGCGCGCTCGTAGTGCGCACCCCTACGGACCTGCGCAACCGACGCGGTCGGGAATCCTGAGGTCGGGCATGTCCCCCTACAGGCGGATGTTGAACGACAAATTGAAAACAACCCCAAATTTGCGCCAAAACTTACCAAAAATACCAAGAACATCGTCCCCAGACTGTTTTTTCAATAACTATTTCCGAATACTCCTCCTGTAGAGGGGCGGGCCCAACTGAAAAAGGGTATCCGGTGGGGGAGGGGTGGCAAAGCGAGCATGTAAAACAGGGCTAGGATCGGGATAAATCGCTCCAGAGCGTTCCAGAGCGCTCTCAGAGCGTTCCGGAACGCTCTGGAGCGGCCGCGGCGCCCAATACATCCTCCAAACCCGCCTATTCTCAGAGATTTCGACTTATCCCGATCCGATTTTGTCCCGATCTTCGCGTCGTTTTAATCCCGTGGGGGAGGGGTGCCAACGGGGGCATGGCGGACCCGTGAGCCCGGGCGGCCGCGGGGCCCTGAAGGCAGCATCCTGGAGAGGCCGTGAGTGAGAGCATCGGCCCGTCCGCGGCAGCGGGCACCAGCCGTGCGGCTGCTGGCTCCGGCCACGTCGGCGTGTGGCGTCGGCCTCGGACGCCGCGGCCGCCAAAGGCCGGCGGCGGACAAACCACCCTTTCGTAGACCTCCCCTTAATGAAAGCGGCCCGGGACGGAAACCGACGGACCTGGACCCGCCAAAAATGACGGCCGCGACGCCCTCTCGCGAACCGAACACGGCCAATTCCTCAATCGACGTGTCAGGGTAGGAGGTCGATCCGCCCACGACAAAGGTTGAGGGGGGATCTCTGGCGATCGTCGGTGCCGTCGGGCAGCAGAGGTGAGGGGGGATCGAAATGGGAGACTGGACCGAGGGAAGGCGAACCGTCGACCTGGAATCGGCGACGTGTCGCCAGCAGATCGGCCACAGGCCCCACGCCCCACGGCAAAGCCAGGCGTCCCAGAGCGGGCTGGGCTGCCGAGACCCTTTCGGCGATCCATGGGCGATTGGGGGGGGGGTCGATGCATGCCCCCCTGAGCCTATCCCCCTCTGTCGTCGCGCCGGAAAAAGGAACTCTAGATGACGACATCCGAACCCTCCCCCAAGCAACCGTCGACTCTCCAGAATCGATCGGAGGCGAGGGTAGGATTCGGATTTCGCCACGTGTTCGACGAATCCTAAACCTTACAGTGGAGGCCAATCCACAAGAAACCTTCCACACGAAACCCAACCCTGAGACCCCAGGACGTACATTCATCTTTGGCGTGGGAACGTCGCGCCTCTCATCGCAAGACCATCGAAACCCTGGAAACCCAGGGCACCCTGGAGGCGAGCAGGGCGTTTCTTGGCATGGGTTTCCTCTGTAACCCCCGCCGCCTGAATCGTTGATCGGCGAGGGGAGGGATCGGACTTCGTTTAGGTCGGGCATGTCCCCCTACAGGCGGATATTGGGCGAAAACTAAGAAATAGTCAAAGCATATGTCAAAATGGCCAAAAGAATAATCAAAAAATCGTCCCCCAACTATTACGTGACTATTTCTGCATATCCCTCCTGTAGAGGGACAGGCCCGCCCGACTGAAGACTTCGTCGCCAGTCAAAGCTGGCCCAACTCTGGCCGGCGCTGACCTTCAGCCTTGAGCGCCAGCACCGGCGTCGGACGCAGCGTGGGGGCTGCGAGAGCCTCCTCCTCCTCTCCTCCTCCTCCTCCTCCTCGCCAGGGGCGAGCAGCGCAGGGGCGGGCATTGCACGTATTCGCCCAGGAGCCTCGCCGATGGCCTGGATCACCGGCGCCCCTGGATACACACATTGCTCACCCCTGGGCTATGCGCCCCGATCGTCGTCTCCGAAGCTCCGCAAGCGGTGGGTGTGGGCATCTCCTGGCGATGCAGGACGACTTGGGACAATAGCTTCTGGGAATCTGCTGCGGGGGGCTGGAATAGGGAAGCGAAAAAATGAAATAGACATGAAAACTCAGAGGTCCACGCGGATTCCTCGGATCGGCGCTGGACCCCCCTCCCTGGCGCGCGGAGCACCAGCGGCGGCGCCTCCGGCGCCGCCAGGGGCGTCCAGCGCGGATCCGAGAAATCCGTGCGGACCTCCGAGTTGTTTTACGTTTATGTTATTATTGAAGGGGCCCTGGGACACACACACATAAATACAGACACATAACAGGATTCTCCATCTTTTTCCCACATTGTCAGGGCTTTCGTCCCCCCCTTCCCATATTTCTTGCATATTTTTCTGGGGATCGACAATTCATTTCGTCTGTGCGTCGCCGCTGACGAAAAGAATGTGTCCGAATTTGGAAGGCGCCCGATCTCCGATTCGAAGAGATGGGGGAGGAGGAGAGGAGGAGGCGGAGGAGGAGTAGGAGGGGAGGAGGAGAAGGAGAAGGATGAGGAGGAGGAGGGAGGAGGAGGAGGAGGAGGTAGGAGGATAGGAGGAAAAAGGAAGGAGGAGGGAAAGGAGGAAGGAGGGGAGGCAGGGGGAGGAGGAGATAGGGGGAGAGGAGAAGGTTAAGGAGGAGGAGTGGGAGGAGGGAGGAGTAGGAGGAGGAGGAGAGGGAGGAGGGGGAGAGGAGGAGAGAAAGAAGAGAGGAGAGGAGGAGAGGAGAGGAGAGAGGGGGAGAAGGGAGGAGGGAGGGAAGTCCGTCCCCCTGATGGGATGATCTTCTGGCCTGGGTGGGGCGCCGCGCTGGAAGGGACCGCCCCCTGGCTCCGCCGGCATAACGGCCCAAAGTTTCGCAGCGAGGCCCCTTCGGATGCGGGCTGTCCAGACCCCGCGGAGGAGGCCCCGTGGGGTCCCCCCAGCACACGGCCTGCGCGCGGTGTGCTTCCCCCGGCGGCCCCTGGTCCTACAGTCGGGGGCTTGACCCAAGGAACCCAAAATAAGGAACCCAAAACAGTGTACCGGGAGTGTTCGGGGAAAGTCGTGCAGTCGGGGGCGTTGACCGAAGGAACCCAAAACAAGGAGCGAGGCCCCTTTGTTCCATCAGTTACACTTCGATGTTCGATCGAAAACCTAAGGAAGACCTGAGGCAAGCTGCGAAACACTTCAGGGACGCGGAGCCCCTCCCCAACGAAAAGGGTTCCTTCTTCCGGGCCCCGACTGTAGGACTGTGGATGCCATGAGAGTGGACACCCTAACAACCCTATCATTGAGTTAACAATGTGCTAACTATATTTGAAGCATGTTCTAAAAATCCTCAAAACATGAACATGCTTTGAACATGCTCAAGACATGTTCAAAGCACGTCTTAGACATCTGGAAATTGCTTTGCAACATGCTTCCTCATTGATCGTCGTCCAAAGTCCTAGGACGGGCGTGTCCACCTACAGGCGGATTTTGGATGAAGAATGAGACATGGTCCAAGAATGATAAAACAAACATCGTCCCCTGTTTGTTTGGTAACTGTTTCAGAATATTCCTCCCTTAGTGGAGGGACGTGCTAACCCTAAGGCCGCGCACCAAAGGTCACTCTTGCCAAGTGCCGCTCTTGCATGCAGCCGAAACGGCAGCTCAAAAATCGATCCCAGGCCCCTCCTGGGGTTTCAAACGCTCCAAATTCCCGAGCTGCGTCCAGCCGTAGCGACGAAAGGCTCCCCTCGAAGGCCATCTAACGTTGTCTCAAATGGCCCAACTGTGAGGAAGCAACCCCAAGAGACCGATGCCGCTATTCCCCTCACCTCTCCTGGGGCGAGTCCTGACCGTGATCTCGAGGCGAATCCAGCCATGGCGACAAGGGCCTCCCGGGAGGCCCTAAAATGCGAACATCAGGGAAGGGTAGCGGCCTAGGTACCCCGAAACTCATCATTAACGGGGGGGCACAAACCTCCCAGACAAACACTCTTAGACCCCCCCGATCAGCCATGAAGGGGCGGCCTTTTGCCCAGAGCCGGCGGAACTCTCCAAGACGGCCCAAGCCAGATCCCGCAGATTAGACTCCACCCCTGTGGCAACTCATGGAAGCCTCTCAAAGAGACTTGACAGCTCTTGCGAATCGACGCTGATCGACGCGAAATCGATGCTAGTCGACGCTAAATCAACGCTTTCTCACCAACTACCAGACGCTAATCGACGCCAGTGCGTTCTAAAGACGGGATTACGAGGGTATAGAAGGTTCCCAAGATTTGCTAATTACCGAGCCCCGCTCTGACTATGAATTTCTGAATGCTGAATAGCGCGGGTTCATGTCGTGTCGACCCCAGCATTAGCTCCTGACACCGGGGGAATCCGGGGGAATCGTTCAACTTTGAACGATCGGCCGTGTCATATCGACTGGTTCTGGGTCGCCGACGAAGTTCAACGCTGAACGCTGGCGGCGGGGTCGCTAAGACCCCTTCAATGCAAGCACTGATTGGGGAACCCCTCCCCCTTCGCCCCGTATTCCCCTTTTCGGGCCTCCTGGGCGTCCCCCGTCGCCGCCGCTGTATTCGCCTCGAAGCCCTGGTCAGAATGCACCCCAGGAGAGGTCCGGGGAGTGGCGGGATCGGTACCTTTCGGTTTTCTCCACGTTCAGAAGATGCAATGGGAAGTATGGTTAGGTTCGCGTCGCGTCGACCGGCGGCGGATATTGCAAGACGTGGCGGACGTTTCTCGCCGATTCTGGTGGCCGGCTGGGTTCCCGGGTTCCTGGTTCCGGGTTCTCGGGTTCCTGGTTATTGGCTCCAGGCCGATTTCGGTGGGTTCCGGGTTCCTGGGTTCCCGGTCGATCTCCTTATCGATCTCTTTACCGATCCATCGATTCTTCAAACCATCCACTGATTGGGTTTTTTTTCTAGGGGTAAAGCTGTGGATGCCATGACAATGGACACTTTAACAATCCTATCATTGAATTAAACATGTGTTTAAAATGTGTAAAACATGTTCTAAACATGTGTCAAGCATGAGTGTTTCCCTACCTAGGCTCTGCCTAGAAGGGTTCTTACTCTCTGGGCTTAAAGGGGCCGGGCAGTGGAAAGCGCCCCATGCGGTTCCCCCAGTATCCGCCCCGCGGTTCCCCCAGTTACGTCCCCTTAGCTTAGCGTTGCTTATCTCATCTTAGCTTAGCTTATTTCACATTAGCTTAGCTCAGCTTCATCTTAGCTCAGGTTTATCTTAGCTTAGCTGACCTTCATCTTAGCTTCGCTGAGCTTTAGCATAGCAGAGCACAGCATAGCATAGCGCAGCAAACCATAGCATAGCATAGCATAGCATGGCATAGCGCAGCATAGCATGGCATGGCATGGCATGGCATAGCAACGAATGCTGCTTTCCTAGGGGCTCCAACTTCTAGGTAGGGTCGCACTGGGGTATTTATTGTACATATGTAAAACATATGTGAAACATGCTTTAGATTTCGGAACATGATTTGGCAGCATGCTGCCTCGATTTCCACAGGGGTAGAGGTATGGGTACCGCTTCCTCTCCCGAGAGCTTCTGCTGGCCCTGGAGCGCCAGGCGGGGCCGGCCCGCGCGTCCAGCTCCTGCACGAGCTCCCCCCTCGCGGCCGTGATCGACTGCACCTCGCGGGCTCGTTCTCCACCGCCACCACCACGAGCACTTGCTCAGGAGGGGGAGGGGGCCCTCCTCCTCTTCCTCCCCTTCCTCGCGCTCCTCCTCCTCCTCCTGTCCTCCGCCTCCCTCCCCCCTCGAGGGGGTCCCCCTCTCCTCCTCCTCCTCCTCTTCTTCGTCCTCCTCCACCTCCTCCTTCTCCTCCTCCTCTTCTTCGTCCTCATCCTCCTCCTCCTCCTCCTCCTCCTCCTCCTCCTGTCCTCCACCTCCCTCACCCCACAAGGGGGTCCTCCTCCTCCTCCTCCTCCTCCTCCTCCTGTCCTCCACCTCCCTCCCCCCTCGAGGGAGTCCTCCTCCTCCTCTTCGTCGTCCTCCTCTTCTTCGTCCTCCTCTTCCTCCTCCTCTCCTCCACCTCCCTCCCCCCACGAGGGGGTCCTCCTCCTCCTCCTCTTCTTCGTCCTCCTCCTCTCTCCATACTTCCTGCCCCTCCTCCTCCTCCTCCTCCCTGTCCTCCACCTCCCTCCTCCCCCCAACAGGGGTCCTTCCTCTCCTCCTCCTCTCCTCCTCTTCTTACATCCTCCTCCTGCCTCCTCCTTCTCCTCCTCCTCCTCCTCCTCCTCGCTCCGCCTCTTCGTCCCTCCCCCTCCTCCTCGTCTCCTCCTCCTGTCCTCCACCTCCTCCCACCCTCCGACCTTGTGCGGTTAGTGGCGGCGACAGTAACCCGTCGCACCACCACCAGGCGTCCCGGGCCCTCGCGCCCACACTCGGCACGCGCTCCCGGCGGCTCATGGACGGAGCGAAGCCGGAGGAGAACTGTCCATCATGTACAACGACCTCCGCTGCCTGTGGCATACACGCGATTGGGAATGTCGGCCGAGGAGGGGAGGAGATGAGAGGGGGAGGAGGGGGGAGGGGGGAGGAGGAAGAGGAGGAGGAGGAGGAGTAGGAGTGAGGAGGAGGAGGATGGGAGAGGAGGTAGGATGAAGAAGAGGAGGAGGAAGGAGGAGGATGAGGATGAGTGCCGACGACGACGACGCGACGACGACGACGCCGCCGCCGCAACACCCGCCGCCGTCGCCGACCACGACGACGCCGCCGCCGCCGAGACTAGCTGCTCCCTGCTCCAATTTCCAGTCTTCCTGTTTTCAATATTTTGGTTTCCGGCCAAACAAAACAGAATCAAGAAGCACGGCAGGCCAAAACGTAGAAACAACTGTACAACACGAACACGAAAACCGAAAACAGCGCGGCCGAGGATCCCCAAACGGAAAACCAACGAACCCAAACACTGAATCACACAGAAGTCGACCTTGAACAAACACGCCCCCCAGCGTGTTCTTAAATATCATCTAAGTGCACGACCACTGTCGGGCTCGGCTGCTCCATCCTCGTGAGGGGCAACGAGAATGGGGGGGGCCGGCTGAAGGGGGGAAAACATCGAGCGGGAATCCGCGATGCAACGCCGACAGAGCGGCAACAGGTCCTCGGTAGCGACTCCGCACGCTCCCGGGCGGGGTGGGCCATCGGGCCCAGATCGGCAATCCATGGGGGATTGGAGGTCGCTGCACCCCCCCCTGGGCCAATCTCCCCCGAACGTCAACCCTGACTCTCGACGATAACAATGTCCTGCCCTCCCCCCCCCCTCCTGGCCTTCGCTGTTCGACAGGGCTGTCTCCAGCCTGTCGATCCGCCCCATGAGCCTATGCCCCCTAAGCCGATCTAAGCGAGCCCAGAGTCGGATCGAGAAGTCGGATCGGCTATCGACATGGATCGGATCAGGAGAACTGGGCAACCACATCGAGGGCAACCGGATCGCCCGAAACTGGCAGGCTGCAGGGCATCTGCGAAGAAACCAGCATCTCAATCTCCTTCGAGATCGAATATCGAGCTGGAATCGGAAGCCATCGAAATCGAACATCGAGTCGGAAGCCATCGAAATCGAATATAGAAGGTCGAATCGAACGGAAACCAGACGCCATCGAAATCGCATACCTCCTTGGAGGAAACGGCACGATCGGCGGTGGACAGACCTTTAGTAGAGCTCCCCTTAGTGACAGCGGCCTGGGACCGAAACCGACGGACCTGGACCCGCAAAAATGACGGCCGCGCCGCCCCCTCGCGAACCGAGAACGGCCAATTCCTTAATCGACGTGTCAGGGTAGGAGGCCTGTCCACCCCCGAAATTGTCGGCCTAGGTCTGAGCATGCCTCCTGCTCGGGAGCGGCCAAGAGGAGGGTGTCCAAGAGGGGGGGGTGCAAATCATGACCAGCGGCATGTGCGCGGCCCAGCGGGGGGGCCAGGGACGTAATGAAATAAAAAGAGGCGCCCTCTCGCGAACCGAGAACGGCCAATTCCTTAATCGACGTGTCAGGGTAGGCGGACTGTCCATCCCCGACGAATGCCTCCTTGGAGGCATCGGCACGAGCCCGTGCAGGGCCCCCTCCGGCCCGTCGACCTCTCCCCCGAGCTCCCGTCCCTCCCGAGCCGGTCCTCCCTCGAGAGGGGCTCTTCTCGACCCCTCCTCCTCCTCCTCCTCCTCCTCCTCCTCCCTCCTGCTTCCTCCTCCTGCCTCCTCCTCCTCCTCCTCCTCCTCCTCCTGCTCCTCCTCCTCCTCCTACCTCCTCCTCCTTTCCTCCTCCTCCTCTCTAACCCTACTCCTCCTCCTCCTCCTCCTCCTCCTCCTCCTCCTCCTCCTCCTCCTAACCCTCCTCCCCCTCCTTCTCCTCCTCCCCCTCCTCCTCCTCCCCGAGGCTTTCGCAGGTCTTCGGAAGGACCTGAAATTTTGGGGGCCCAGACCTGAAATTTGGGGGCGCCCGTCCTCGATGAGGGGGTGCGTCCGCATGGCCCCCTCGGGGCGCATCCCCGGGCCCCCCCCCCCCTGCCCCGAGCGGCCACGCCTCTCGTCGAGAGGCCGGGGGGGGGGGGGCCGGGGGGGAGAGCTCGCCCGCGGCCCCTCGCGTTGCCCCGGGGCCTCGGCAGCAGCTCCCCCGCCGCGGCCCGCGGGAAGTCCACCCCCGAGGCCCACCGCACGGGCGTGGCCTGCAGCTTCCGCCGGGCCTCCTGGCGGCGCGGCGCCCGCAACGTGGCCCCGAGGGCCGAGCGAGCCTTGCTCCCTCGGGAAGGGGGGCGATCCTGGCGGCGCGCACAGCACAGGGGGGGCGGCGGGGAGGGGGCGGGGGGGGGGGCTGCCTCTTGGAGGGCGCCGGCCTTGCATCTCTGCAGACGAGGCCGGCGCCTCCCAAGGCGCAGGGGTGCTTCCGAGGAGCCTCGCCCCCTCCCCCTGGCCCTCCTGTGCGCGCCGCCACACTTACGGCGGGGGGAGGGGGGCGCACCTTTCCCGTGCACCTTGCGCGTCCTTTTGGGGGCCCCAGGCGCCCCCCCTAGAGCCCCCTTGGGTAGAACAGGTGTATCATCCTTCACCCCCCCTCCATTTTAGAGGGACCCAGGGGCGCACAAGTGAATAGGCAAGAATCCAAGGATTCCCAAACTGATCCAATCTTTCCTGGACGTCTGTCTTCGCCCCCTTGGAGTCGACGATGAAAGGTTTAGGTCGGGCATGTCCCCCTACAGGCCGATGCTAAACGAAAAATCAAAGATAGCACAGAAATGCCCCCAGAAGCACCATCAACAATGGTAGAACAACGGTCCCCAGACTATTGTTCCCCCATATCTTCGAATCTTCCTTCTGTAGAGGGACATGCCCGACATAATGGAAGGTCTCTGTGTGTCTCTCCCCTCCTGACATTTGGCGCCCCCCAAGTCCGCAACGCTCGGGCGGGAAGCGGGTGCTGCACGGGCCCCGGATGCGCTGTCCCCGGGACCAGCTCTCCGTCCCGGGCCACTCTGCTTCTGACAGCCCTGTGGGGCCTGTGAGGGCCCCAGGGTGCTCGAGAGCTGTGGCAAGACCGCGCGGC